TCTACCTCTGTACCCGCCTTCTGCAGCCCCATAAAAACCTCCCTCTCAGGGCCTTTGAGGCCTGACATTTTGAAGGATAATTGAGTCCTTGTCAGTGCCCATCTGGCATTAAATAAATCTGCCTCCGAGTCCTTGGTGACGTTTTGGTGTTTCTGCTTGCCAGAAACCTTGCCGGGTGTCCGGGATCCCAGAAAAACAGCAGAAAGTCCCAGCTACAATTTACTGAGTGTTGATTACCCGCCAGGCACAGTGCCGGGCACGTGGCTCTTAGCCAGTCCTTCAGTGGGCCTCTTTCTTCATCCGGTTTTCCCCTGGGAAGCAGTGGGAGCTGCTGTGGCAGGCAGCGAGTGGTAGGCGTGTGAGTTCTTAGTGGCCGCGGGGCAGGCCTGAGAGGCGGGAGGTTGAGTCATCGTGCACTGTGCTTATTCTTGCATCTCATCCAGGTTGGGGTTCCGGGGGATCCCCAGAGCCTGAAGCTGTATCTATTGGGAGTGGGGAGACGCTGGGGCCCCCATAAGGAGGTGGCCCTGACACAGGGCAGTGAGGGCTCCCAGAAGAGCTTCTGGGAGGAGGAAGACATGACGTTATATAGGACCGGGGTCACCACACAGCCCACGGAGAAGAGGACACTGGTCACTGCGTAGAAGCAGTGGTAAAAATTGTAGAGCAAGCTGGAGTAGAACTCCGGGGCCTGGCTGCAGGGCTGTCCCCTCATCCCCTGCCCCCCTTTCCTGTCACACAATTCCTGTTCCTTCACAGTGTGAATTTGGGGTCTGTCCCGTCCCCACCAGCTGTGGACAAAGAGATGTGGCTTCACTAGGAATCAACAGTCTGTGTGAGAAACCGAGCTCTTCTTGTGGGTTCTCTCCCCCGGGGGGACCTCGGCATGGGCACACGTGGGCACACGTGTGTGTAGCAGGCACTGGTAGCTCCCGAAGGCCACTGTCCACACAGCTGTGTCCGCGGAGGCTACGTGGTCTTTGTTCGGTTGGGTGTCTGGTTTCCACTTGCTGCAGAGACGCAGTGAGTTCCGGGAGGCAGACGTACCAAGGAGTTTTCTCTTCTCCCCTCCTGGAGCCAGGCAGTCCACAGCCCCCACTGCCATCCACAGAGCTCACCCGGCAGAGCGGGATCTAGTGCATGCCCCCTCCCTGTCCCACCCAGGACACTGGGACACAGACTTGGCAGAGATGCGGAGACCCCAGCCCAGCCGCACAGGTCCTCCAGTGCCCACACATCCTCAGCGATATAGCGGAACACGAGCCTACGGCCACGACACGGCAGCCAGCAAATGACATACACGGCCGTGATGGCTCCTGCAGGACCAGTGGAGCGGGGAAACAGAAGGCAAACACGGTTCAGGTAAGCTACCTCCAAGGGTGCCTGAGGACACTTTTCCCTGTGCTTTGTTTCTGGAGTCACGGGCTAGGAAGAGAAGCCAGAGGTGATCCAGTGTATTTTTTTTTTCTTGAGACTGGGTCTCACTATCTAGTTCAGGCTGGCCTTGCGCCCTGTATGGAGCCCAGGTTGGCCTTGAACTCCCAGTAATCCTCCTGCCTCAGCCTCCCGAGTGCTGGGATAACAGGCATGCAGCACCATGCCTGGCTGACCAAACATATTTCATCTGCATCTCCTCTCAAACCTCACATTGCCCTGTGCTCCAGGTGATGATCACCTCAGCCCCCGCTTGGACACACAGGTTTCCAGGATCTTCTCCTGGACACTAGGATTTAATCCCAGCTCCAGGTGGGACATTCCCTCCCAGCTCTCTGACCCCATATGCAGCAGAGCTCAGGTATCTTTCCTTTCCCTTCTGTTCTTTTTCTGATGGCTTGATAGTCCTCAGCCACATGGCAGCGTCTCCCACCCCTTCTTGAACCCTGTCAAGCAGTTCCTCCTCAGCCTCTCTCTCCCTCCTCCTGCCACCCCACTGTGACCACCTCAGGCGCCTGTTTCCTTCCGGTGCTGCTCTGACATCCACGCCCTCATCGTGCTTCTCTGCCCCTGCATAAGACCACGGTGTTGCTGATGGCCCAGACCTGCTTCTCACTCCATCCTTCAGCCTGTAGCTCAGACCCTGGGTAGGGTAGGTGTTCAAAGCCTCTGTTTTCCTGTCCTTTTGAGATTTCTCTTACAAGCCCACATTGTGCCAGATCCTCACGGAAACAAGCAAGCAGACACTGTTGTAGCAGGGAGTGGGGAGAGTTAAGGGGAGTTGGATTTGGGGACCAGCCTGTCTTGGAGTCCACAGTTCCTTCAGTGTGGTTCTCTGTTCCTCTGGGGCAGCCTGGTCTCTGCTTGTCTCTGTGTGCTGCTCCCTGAAGCAGACCAGGGCACTGCAAACTGAATTCCCACTCTTTCCGTTCCTTACCTGTCAGGGTTTAGATCTAGATGTCCTCCGAGAGCCTCATGCACTCATAGACAGGGCTTTCAGGAATGATTGGATTATGGAGCTTATACGGTTCTGACTTCCTGTTAGGAGGCGGGGCCTGGTGGAAGGGGTGGTCCTGGGCCCTGGAGCCTGGAAGGGTTCCTGTCCCTCCCAGCTCTGCCCTTTTCTCACCACTTGCTGTCCACCATACCATGAGCAGCTCTTCTC